GCACCTTAGTCCTCAAGCTGACATCTCTGCTCTTCAATAATGTGTTTAGTGGGTAATATTTCAAACTCTGGACATCTTTTCAGAAAAAAGCACTTTTGAATTTAAACGATTGGGTCCAGTTGTTAATCCCATAATAGTATAATAAATGCCTAACAGAGTGTTCATTGTTCATTTCAGAATCTGAAAATGGAGGGGGGGGGGGATACAGAATTTTAATGTTTGCTCAAGCAACCCTCAGAATTTGGAATACATTATTTGTACTAAATGTTCTTTAATTTACATCATACTTATTTCTCTTCTTGATATAAACTGATAAAAGGAGAAGGGCATTGTGCTGAAGGCAGACACTTTTACTAGTTAAACTAAATAATTATTTGATTTTTAAGAAGACTTCAGGAGATATTTTTTGGTTTAAGGCTTAAAAATTATCTCAAGGCAATAGTGGCAGGGGTTAATCCAGCTTCCTTAACTCTAAAAGTCTGAGTTACATGAGAATTTGAAATTCTCTTCTGAATTCTCTCTTTTCATCAAAATGTTCAGTAATTGAGTCCTGGTGTGGCAGAGTCCTGGCGTGGTGATGTAGGATAAGAACTAGACCATAAAGTTGATTTGAACTGCAAGGCTGGCGGTTTGAACTCACCAACCACTCCTCAGTAACCCTATAACAGGGTCACTATCATGGCACATAACAACAACAATAAACGGTAATTCTTCTGGTCTCAAGGCAAACAAGACCTTCTTCTTCTTTTTTTTTTTTTTTTCTTTTCTTTTCTTTTAACAGAAGCAATTAGCCATACATTCCATTTTTCTCCTTTTATTACTGAAAATGTTCCCTATATTGCTCCAGGTGAAAGTACTTGATGGTATGTGCCATCAAGTGAGTTCCGATTCATAGTCACCTTTATAGCATTTCCAAGAAGGTGATGGTGGGTTTGAACTGTGACCTTCTGATGAGTTGTCCACTTCTTATACTGCAGTATCACATTAGGCTCCAGGTGAATGGAGATCAATTACTGTGCACTGAATGGACACTTTTAAGACCCTAGGAATTACACAATGGACTAGGAGATAGAAAAGAAGCACTAAACGTGCAGTTAGGCCAATTACCTGGGAGGTCCCATGAAACCACGCTCTTTTAAGATCTATCTAAATTGGATCAAATTGTCAACAGCAACTTTAAAGATAAAATAGAAACCTTAGGGGCAATGAGTTCAGGGAGGAAGAACAATTCAAAAGAGGAGAGCAAAAATGATCACACAACTTGAAGAATGTAATTAATGTCACTGAATTGTACATGTAGAAATTGATGAACTGATGTATGATATTTTGCTGTATATTCTCAACAACAGCAACAACAAAATAAATACATACAATTTTAAAGGGAGAGAAGGGCAATTTACAGAGGAAAGTGACAGTCCGAATATAATTAGGAATTTCCAAACTAAAAGAAATCTTTTTAAATCCAACTCTATGTTGCAAAAATGAATTGAATGAATTGGTCTCAGAATTCAAACTAAATACACTAAATACATATATATATGTAATTGTTGTTAAGTGCTATCAATATATATATATTGTGGTTGTTAACTGCTGTCTAGTCATTTCCGACTCATAGCGACCCAGTATAGGGTTTCCGGAGAGCGACTGGTGAGTTTGAATTAATACATATATAACATCCGACAACACCTATTCAACATGGTAATATTTCCCTATTCTCTTGTGTTCCCTTAACTATATATGCAATGTGACAGCACAGTTGTGAGTAAATCTCTAAGAATCAGATTTTTAATTATAACTTTCAGTGATTCTATAACCATTGAAAGGTTTTATCAAATTTGTAATTTTAGTAATAACTATGCCAAAAAGCAAATCTACCCAGTTGATTTTTATCTTCAGTTTGGAATGCAGCAAATCATAAACAAGGCACTAGAATTATTCTTTCATGCTATATCTTGCTCTATCATGACTATATTTTAACACAAGTAAAAGTAAAAACTCATATTTCCTTTTTTTAAAGTCTACAAGTTAGTATTGTGGGATTAGTATATAGCATAATGTAAGTAACTATATGATTTTAGACAATAACCTAAGTTCCTTATGCATTCTTCTGAATTTAAAAAAGAAGAGATACATTAGATGATCAAAATTGGATATCTTGTCTTATGCCAGGCCAACTAGAGTTGTCCTTTTTAGGCAAAAGCACACATTTTTTTCTTATAGAAATATCTTTCCCTGCTCTAATTCCATGTAGTTTAGGGGAAGTGACGCTACCTCTGACTTAAAGAGTGAACAGTAATACAGACCTAACTCAGTCAGCATATTCTTATTGTTGCTAGGTGCCAATGAGTTGGTTCAAACTCAATAGTGACCCTATGCACAATAGAGCAAAACACTGCCCAGGCCAGGACCACTCAACCAATTTGAACTAACTGTTGCTGCCACTATGTCAATCCATTTAGTTGGGGGTCCTCTTTTCCGCTGACCCTCCATTTTACCAAGCATGTCCTTTTCTAGGGACTGGTAACTCTTGACATGCCCAAAGTTCAAGAGGTGAAGTCTTGCGAACCTCACTCCTGAAAAGCATTCAGCTGTACTTCACTTAAGAAGTGAAGTGTTCCTTCTACTGGCAGTCCGTGGTACTTTCAATATTCTTCTCCAACAAAATCCATCAATTCTTCTACTGTCTTCCTTATGCCTTATCCAACTTTCACATACATATGAGGTGATTGAAAATATCATGACTTTGCTCCTTAATGCTTTAAAGAGGTCTGGTGCAGCAGATTTGCCTAATGTAATAAACACATCATTTGATTTCTTGACTGCTGCTTCCACTAGTGCTGACTGTGGATCCAAACAAAATGAAGTCTTTGACAACTTTAATATTTTCTCAATTTGTCATGATGTTATATATGGGTCCAGGGGTGACGGTTTTCTTTTTTCTTTACATTGAGGTGCAATCCATACTGAAGGCTGTGGGCTTTGATCTTCCTCAGTAAGTCCTGTTCACTTCTAGCAAGCAAGGTTGTATCATCTGTATATCACAGGTTATTGATGAGTCTTTCTCCAAGTCTGATATCACATTCTTTTTCATATACTCCAGCTACTCATATTGTTTGGTCAGCATATAGTAGCATAGTGGTTATGAGTTGGGCTGCTAACCTCAAGGTCAGTAGTTTAAAATTACCAGCTGTTCCACAGGAGAAAGATGAGGCTTTCTGCTCCCTTATGTAACGATTTACAGCCTTGGAAACCCTATGCAGGGTAGCTATGAGTCAGAACTGACTCCACGGCACACCACCACCACCACCAAGTACAGTAAAAGGATACAACCCTAGCAAACATCTTTCCTGATTTTAAAACATTTAGCATTCCCTTGTTCTGTTCTAATAACTGCCTCTTGGTTTATGTATAGAGTCCTCATTGTTCTGGAACACCCATTTTCTCAATTTATTCATAGTCTTTTATGACTCACACAGTCGAAGGCCTTTGAATAGACAATAAAGCACAAGCAAACATCTTTCCAAGGAGCTATGGTAGCGTAGTGGTTACAAATTGGGCTGTGAACCTTAGGGTCAGCAGTTTGAAACTACCAGCTGTTCCGTGGGAGAAAGATGAGGCTTTCTGCTCCCGTAAAGATTCATACCTCAGAAACCCTGTACAGGGTCGCTATGAGTCAATTCTGACTCCACGGCACACAGCTACCACCAAGAAGCCCTCGTAGTGTACTGGGTTATGAGTTGGGCTACTAACCACAGTCAGCAGTTTGAATCTACCAGCTGCTCCACTGGAGAAAGATCAGACTTTTTGCTCTGGTAAAGATTTATATCCTTGAAAACCCTATTTTTGTTGTTAAGTTCTGACGAGTCGGTTTTGATTCATAGTGACCCTATATAGGGTTTCTGAGGAGTGGCTGATGAGCTTGAACTGCTGACCTTGTATTTCAAACTGCCCTTGCAGTCCAGCTCTTTAACCTGTAGTGACAGACTACCCAACTTCATGACACACAATTAACCAACCAACCAAACATCTTTCAGGTATTCTCTGCTTTCAGCTAAGACCCATCTGACCTCAACAATGATATCACTAGTTCTATGTCCTTTTCTGAATGTAGCTTGACTTTTTTGGCTTTATTGATGTATTGCTACAAGAGTTTTTGAAAT